GGGGAGGGAAGGGGAGGGTTGTGTGAAGACTTCGACAAAAGAACATCGCACAGGGGTAAATACCCATCGTGTTGGATAAGGAGCTATCTTCTTGACACTCCATGTGCACGTATCTTTCACAAAAGAATCCTTCCACTGGGGGGAAATAAAAATAAAAATCGGAGAACGGACACCACCCCAGCGGTCCCCACAGCCAGCAGCCCATGAACCGTTGCTTGGCTCACAGAAATCCCACTAATCCATGCTGGAACGACGATGAAAACAGTGTTATCCTCTGGGACACATCACTGGATTCAATCAGAGCCAGCAAAGTTGAGCAAATACCTCACCTGTGATGCTGTTTCACAGGCGGACCACATAGAGTGGGCACGGACAACTCCTTTCCATAACGAGAGCGGCACCGTGCTCGAGAGAGGGAGGGGCAAATAATCGAGCAGAGAGGATGGGAGAACGCATTGGAGGTAAACAATAAGATAAGCCAGCTCGCAAGCAAAAGAGTGGGATCAAGTATGATTTGTGCACGGGCGCTTTTTCTTTGGGGTGGGGGAGCCAGAGGGCGGAGGGGGGGGGGGGGGGGGGGGGGAAGGGGGGGGGGCATTACCAGCATGCGAACTTTGACCAGGCTGGTGGAGATTTGACAAGGCAGGCCCAAGTCACCACCTCAGTCTGTCACAAGTCGACTCAATGATTGGACGATCTGCTTGATGTTGTAGCGAGTGGCTGGGTCGCCGGTTAAGCTACTCACATCCCCGCTTATGCTCTGCCAGGTACAGTAAATAGAGCAGCACATACCATCCACATCAAAACTGTCATGAATGAGCGGGGGGCATCCGTACCATGTATAAGGCAAATTCTGGCAAAACTCAGCACTCTCCGCCCTCCCGACCTCCCCTGGATTTCTCGCTCTGAAAAAAAAAAAGAAACAAAAAAAAAGAAACCGAACTGTGACAGGTGCACATACATGGTGAATAACCATGAATCCCTTTGCACATGAAGCCGAACGGAGGTGAAGAGGAAAGG